GAGAAATTAAAAGCCACATAGGAAAAATCCGCCAGCCCACAAAAACCAAAAACAGTTGAGTAAATTATATACACCAACAATAACAACAGCAAAAACAACATCCATAGCAACACAAAGCCCACACACATGCATATAAATGTACACATGTATTTACATATAAATATATATATATATATATAAACATACATATAGATATGCTATATAAAAAGGTCTATGTACAGTAAATTATATTATATGCGGCCAAGTGTGTACTAAATAAGGTAATTTGTGTGTACACCATCCAACGGCTACCAACAAAAACAAAAACAGCAACAGCAGCAACAACAACGACAACAACAACAACAAAAAACGTCAACATCAACATCAGCGCGAGGCTGGCAAGAACAAAAATTCATTAAAATGAAAAATGAAATTCAACACATTTTGAAGTGCGGGAATTTTGGGGCCTCGCTCGCCCGTCAGCTGGTTAAATTTTCGCAATTTTACCCAAACGTCAAATAATTTTTCCGCTTGATGTATGCGACTGACGCCAACGCAGCCCAACAGACTTCGACCTCTATATATAGAAGTACAACACATACACACACACACACACAGACACACATACAACTAAATATTTTCCATATATATAATGGGCGCTCGGTCAGGGCAGAATGCATGGGATAATCAACTATAGCAAGAACATAACTACCAAATGTTTTCTAGTATCGTAGAATTTAATGTTTAGCTAAAACACGCATCATCGCTCTGAGCATATACTGCATAAATGCAATTAAATGAGAAGCCCAAGATTTTTCAGAATTAGCCTAAGCAATAACCAAAGTGAAATTGATTAATGAGATAAAGGAAAAAGCATATAATTTGAGAATTTATTAAAAGAAGAATTTAAAATACAAAATATTTTATCTCTGCTAAGTTCATTAGAGTTTTTATTTATTTATTTTTATTTTACTTTTTTAAATGTATTATTTATATTTGTTATATTTTAACTCGATACAAAGCAAATCTTAGTAGCCACATGTTAAACCTAGACTATAATTAATTGAGATTTTTACTTTTTTTACATTTTTTACATTTCTATAAAAATAATTTCATTATTTAAGGTACTGAAATTAAATGCAATTTATCACTATTTAGTGTGATGCAAATATTATTTAATACTAATTTAATGTTATTTCATTTTAGTCATAAGCCATCGCATATGCTAATATGAAAACTTCAGAAAGTTGAAAGGTCTTATGACTTTATTGATATATATAAACATATATTATAAACATTATTTTGAATTTATAAATCATTTTTTTGTATAACATTTTATCTAAAATTTTAAATATATGTCTCAAAAATCCAGTCAGCATTAAAAATAAATGTTAATCGGAAAAAAATATTATAGGAATTTTAATACAAATGTAATCCATATTTTTTTCTGAATTTTAATTCATATTATTTCTCGACCTTTATTGGCTTTATGCATCGATTTCATTGACACCATTCGCTTCAATATGAATCATCAAAAATTCACGTTCGAATCGCTTTCAACTGCTGAAAAGTGGGCAATATCCATCGATAATATGTTAATTAAATCGGCCAAACAGCTGATTTTCGACCAACGACCAGCGACAACGTTTGCACACCCCGCACACACACACACACTTGTCGTTATGACGTCATAATGTAAACATCATAAAAATGCCGAAAAAATTGAAATAAAAAACAAAATAGCAACGAAAAGAAAAAAGTGCTGCAAAGTAAAACACTTAAACAGCAGCGCAAATGACACGAACCAACAAAAGCAAATTGCAATTAAATAAAAAATAAAAAATAAAAAACAGACAACTTCAATGGCAGCAATGACATTGACAATGCCAATGAACGATGCAATAAGCAAAAAAAAAAAAGAAAAACGACAACAAAATAATATATATGAATGAGAGCAACAACAACAAACAGCCGAAAACGCGACGCATGCCACGTGCCGCTGCATGCAGACGTAGCAAGGACGCAGGATAGCCGGCAATTATCATAAGCAGCAACACATGCACATGTATATGTATCAGTATGTATGTGTGTGACTGCCGAAAAAAGAATAAACTAAAAAATAAAAATACTCCTGGCATGCGAACGTTTCAGGGGCAACTCCCAGTCGCGGTCTGGTCACTTTTTCGTGACGAGGTGAAGAGCTCGCTTGGCATTTCATTTAATGCCAATTACGTGTATGAGCTGCATTAACCAACTCGCGTACACCCCCTCTTGTACACGCCCCCATACTCACACGCACACACACACACACAGGCGAGCAAACACTTTCGCCTGTTGCGAAATGGGCGAAAATAAAAAGGAACTCCCAACAGTCAAATATATGGGAAGTGTTATAAATTCATCGTCAGCCGTAAAGTATGCAACGTCGTGCTGCAAGTTAGATATGACAAAAAATGACGATGAATATAGGTTTGAGTGATCTTAACCCTTGTCGAAGAGAGCGAGAAAGTACTGCTAGACAGAGAAACGAATGAAGATATCTAGCTCCTTCTGTAAGCCATAGAAAGAGGCACGTTCATCTGCCTGGGCTCTACTAACAGCGAAACTAATGGGTAACATGTGGAGTACATTTGCAATTAAATATATTATATTGCAGTAATGATCCCATAAGCTTAATCAGTAATTATTCACCTAAAATAAGCATCACACTAGCTTTAGAAGACATATATATTTAATAAAGTTCTCTATATCTTTCTTATTTTTGTTTATATTGTTTAACATATGGTATATATTAAACTTGAATTTGTATTAAATAAATCGAAATTCCTTAACTAAATTTAAATAGTTTGAAGCAACTACAATAATAAATGTTCCTTCAGGGCATTCTTTAATATTTCTCAAACACATGATAGTATGATAGATCCAAAATTTGTTTATCAATTAAAGATTTAAATTTTAAAAACAATTTTTATTCTAAAAATATTCTTATATCGGATTTAATATAATTTTTAAATATAAAAGACAGAAAAACATTTATAAAAACAATAATTAACTCCACGAAAATCTATAGAAATCTTCCAAAAAAAAAAAAAAAAAAAAAAACTCATTTAATTGGCGACAAATGCGTGCATTATATTGAATAACTGCAATTAATAGCAATTAGAGTGCTGAGATTTATCTCCCATCCCTAGCTGGTGGGAACTTAATTTAATTTAATTTTTTTTTTTTTTTTTTTTTTTTTTTGCATGCACAGTTTATTGCTCTTAATGAAACACGAGAGCAACGGTCGAAGCGTGGGCCACGGGACAACGGCTCGTTTGTCCTGTCTCAGGACCGTCTGCCACATGTGATGATGTATGGGGACGCGGATGCCGCAATGACAACGTCAGTTGCCACTACCCACTCTGTAGTACTGTAGCCGGCGAGCAAAGGCCACGCTTAAAATACAATGAAAAAATACAAACAAACAAAAAAAATCAGACATTGCGCATACGCCACGTTGGACAATGCAGCAGCAACAGCATCAGCATTACGCCCAATGTCCTCGTCCTTCACCTAGAATTATTTTTGTGAGTTTATTTTTATTTTTTTGCCACGCTCTTTACATAATATGCAATTTTCATTTGGGTGCCGAAAAAATCAACCAAAACAAAGAAATCGCCTGCATTACGCATGTGTCAGTATGCGAGTGAATGAGTTGAATGCGTGTGCGTGTGTGTGTGTGTGTGCGTATATGTGTGTGTGTGAGTGAGTATAAGTGCGTATTTCATCAATGTACGCATTAATAAGCCACACTTGCATCTGGGCGCCGGGTCGGTGCCCAGCTCGATGGCAGAACCATGCCCCAATCCACTGGCACTGCTGCTGCTGATGCCGATGCTGCAGCTGTCGAAAGTGAAAGTGGACGGAGAGTGTCAAAAAAAACAACAAAATAAAACGTAAAAAGAAATACAAATAAAATGAAGCGTACTGCCAAAAATAAATATAATTGCAGTGCAGAAATGAAAAAAAAAAAAAAAAAAAAGAGCGAGGAAAGCGATTGGAGCGACCGAAAACGAAAACGAAAAGTCGTCGACATTAATCGACTCGAAATTGGTTTAATTCATATTTAAATGTACGCCGCTGGACGGGCAAGTGCCCGTATGTTTGGATAGGGCGGAGCCGAGCCCGCTATGCGCCTCCTGCCAGCTGTTGCTGTTGCTGATGCTGATACTGCTCGGGTGAAAGCAACAGTTGCTTTGTGTGGCTTTTCCGTTCCATAACTCAATTAAATTGTTATTTATGGCAAATCAAATTTACCAGCTTCCGTTCATGGCTAATGTCGAATGGCACACAAAGTTCGATGGGTCACCTGGCCCCGAAAAAACCGCCCATACTTAATTATGCGCACACGGGCAGCGGTATATATTATTATTTACGTTTGCCAAAAGTAATTGACCGGGCACTCTCAATGATCGGCAGACCTTTGAACGATTCATAATTCAATATTGGTGATTCGTTTAATTTCACTAAAGGAATATACTATATAGTGGTTGCTATGAAAAAAAGTTGCGGCAAACGTTTAATTAATTTAATATAATAATTTAATAGAGGCATTCATTTGATGTACGATTATGATGATGATAAATAAAAGTATATTTCTCAAAAATTTATAAATATAGATTGGCAAATATTGTATATCTGCTGTTAAGTCAATATTACTTTTGAATGACTAAAGGCTTTTATTTACTTATTCGAAATGAATTTATTAGCTATTAATTGTATTGAATTTGATCCACTAGTAAAATATGCTTTGTAGTGTGCATGAGAAAGTACTTAAATCAAGTAAATAAATTTAAAATAATTAAATTTCTACATTTATTTTTTGTTTATTTTCTCAGTAGTTACTGTGTATACCTCTGAAATATTTTAATATTTCTTCAAGCAATCCTTAATTAAATAATGCATATAAGAAACATTGGATATGCATCTAGAGAATTTAACTTATTGTAAAAGAAATCAATTTTCCTTACTCATTCCAGAGCGCTGCAACATCTATCTGTATCCAAGGAGGCAACACTGCAATCAATAACGTATATAAGGCTCAAGTACTGTATCAATATCGAGAAGAGAAATATATATAGTGCAAATACAAGCGCATATCCTTGACATTACACAGGCGAAACGGTTTCAAAATGACGTAAATTATTTCATTAGTTGAAGCGAGAGGCAAAATGGATGCTGGACTCGACTTGGCGCTGTTTGCTGTTCACTTTTTTTTCTCATTTTGTGCACTGTTTTAATCAGCAAAAGGCATTCATCTTGTTTGCCAAACTAATTTTTTATCTTGCCAGTTGCCAGTCGCCAGTCGCAGCTGCAGCTTCAGCACTCGGCAGCTGGCCACAGGGGAGCGGAGGATGTAGTCTGTTCCCGGCGCGTCTTTCAAGCAGCGGGACAAGGAGTTATATATGTGCTTATCTAGTATGTATGATGTGGTAGCGCACGCTGGTCCCCGAAGAAATGCACAGAGCCATGTACAAGCAAACCTTACCACACACACTATGCAAAAATAAAACAACAACAAAAACAAAAAATACCAAAAAAAAAAAACAAAGGGAAGCTGCCAAGTAAATGGCAAAAACTTTTAACGCCCTCGTCCTGGGCAGCTGCAGCAGCTGCGGACTGCTGCCCGCCTTCCATTCGCACTCGCATTTATTATACTAACAGTAAAAAATTACTTTTGCCTGCTAAAAACCCAGCCAGGACGAGCGTTTCCAAGGGAATTGCACGGCAGTCAGCCGTGGCAGCAATGCTGGCAAATGGAAAAAGGACATTCGTTATGCTTAAGCAGAAGAATACGAAACTGTACTTGACAGCAGACGCCCAGAGCACAGAGCATCGCTCCCACTCTGCCAGCAGCCAGCTAAACTAATAGCACAAGCGAGCACCGTATACTCGTATATATTTTATATACCTATACCTACATTTATATATATACACACATATATATATATGTAAGTAAGCAAGAACAAATAAAAGCAAAGGGAAAAAAACCAGAGCAATGGCCAACTGCAGGAAGCAAGCAGCTTCTTGGCCAGCCAAAGGGTTTGTCCTTGTCTGTTCGCCTGGGTGTTTGTATGTGTGTGTGTGAGAGCTCTGTTGCCAGCTCGTTGGCTGCTTGGCTGAGGGGTTGTTTGTTGCTGGGCTAAAGTAAAATGGCGTCGCCTTAATTTATTTTAAGTGGTTGATGGTTTTAACTTGCAGCAGGCAAAAGAAAATGCTTTTAAAGCTCACTTTTTGCTGCGCTTAGATGAAGCTGGGCTAACTGGAGTGTTGGGCATGGAAGAACTCTCGACGGTCGGTCCGACCACAGCACTGCAAACGTGCAACCGAAGCTGTCCCATTATGCTGTAGGGCAGGCAGTCCACTAGCCAGGCAACCTGCCAGCCTGGCTTTGTCTTTTCTATAAACCATTATGCAAATAGCCTCACTGGTTACCCAAAAAAGAAGCAACTCGACCCGAGTACAAGTCAAATTTATAGCCGACTTAACAATTTGCACAACTTTGCTGGAGCCAGGGCCACAGACAGAGCCAATGCCGCCGGCTGCAGCAAAGCAAACCCAAACGCAAGCTACAGGAGAAATCTCGAAAAATTGCAAAAACGATTAAATATAGGCAAGCAGCAGCAGCAACAACAACCACAACAACAACAATGCCCAGCTGAAGCCCCACACGGACCTGAAATGAAAGCAAACGAATACAAATTAAAATCGTCCCCTTAAGTTGGCTGGCTGCTCGGTGGCGCCATAAAAAGTATGCGCCTGCTCAGCCAGACAATCCAGTTCAGTTCAGTTCAGCTCAGCCCAAGCCGAAGCCCAAGTCCGACCTGGCCAGGCCAGTCTAGGCCAGTCCAGCCCAGTCCAGCCCAGTCCAGTTTGTGCCGAGCCCATTCAAAGCCAGCCCAGCCGCCCATTTCTTCTACGGCATCGACCGCTTTATGCATAGGGGAGTCATTATATTGAATTGAACGTAAAAGCGCAGATAAAATGTGCAACAAAAGGACCAGCAGCAGGACGCAGCCAAGCCAAGTATGTTGACTCGCAATCTCGTTGGCCCGATGCAGTTAAGTGGACCAGCCCCAGCAACAGCCCCAGCACCAGCATGAACACCAACAGACGCCATCGTCAACCTCGCTCGTTGCTAGTCGAAAAGCCAGTAAAGCAATTGAGGCCTCAGACACTTAAAATGTAAGCCAAAGGCCGCCCCTGTAGATGTCTATGTGTGTGGCTGTGTGTGTGTATGTAAGTTTGCCCAGTGTTCATAGCTGTCAGCTATAAGACACACGCCTGAGCGCCCAGCAGCTGCGATTGAGTTGCCTGCCTTGGCAGACAGCCTAGGCCAGACGATAGGCAGGCGACAGAAAGGATAACTGGATAACTCCATGTATGTCTGGCACATGTGTGAAGAGCCCAAATGCTCGTCAATAGGGTGACTCAGTATAAATTTAATTTTTAAAAATTAGTATAGGATGGAAAAACTGAATTCATTTCATAAATGTTTATAAATTAAAATTAAATTTTCAGTTATCTGTGACAAGCTTTCTAATCTTTTAAAATAACTATAATATATTTGGTCATGTTATAAATTCATAATTTAAATAATTTGTAAGCTACAATTGAACTTTTATAATTTATAAAAAAAAATTTTTTTAAGCACAATATCTAATTTTGCAAATAAATGTTAAAGCAATTCAATGTAAATAAAAAAATAAATAAAAAACAAACACATAAAAATCGAATCTAAATTTTTAATATATTCTTGACAAAAAAAAAAAAAAAAAAAAAAAAAAAAAAAGTTCAACATATTTTATAGATGAACGTCAGCCAACGAACAAATTCGATCAGTAGATATAGCTTTTGGTAAATCATTAGGCTAAATGCTTCATTTCATCTGCTTGGGAAAAAGGAAAATTCATTATACGCATAAATTAAATATATGTTTAAATATAATATAAATATAAATATAAATTGCAACCCGAATACTTGACTATATTTAGATATTCTCTATTTATAATTATCAATTTTTTTTTCTCAATTCCTATTTCAACTACCTGTTCGAAGCCCATATCACTTCAATTTCAGTTTATTCCACTATCATATATTCTAAAAAAATCTTCTATTATTTATTCTATTCTCTTCATTCAATTATTTATTATTCACAAATCGTTCGCTTGAATCACCCTAGCACATTCATTACTCTGGCCACCTGCTACCGCACTTATCAGTCACCTGATACGTGTATATATTGAAGTAACCGTGTGCTTCCTCTTGATCTCGATGCACCGAAATGCCTTCCAGCTTGCCAGGGACTGCTGCTGCCAACCTTTGTTTCATATCCTGCCCAAGCTGGCAGTCCTCTCTCTCTCTTTCTCTCTCCCTCTTCCTGCTTATCTTCATTTAACTTTCTACCACGTTTCACTCGTTATCTTTGTGTTGTCTGTGTTTTTGTATTTTTTGTTTCCTTGTTCTTTTTCTTTTGCTTTCCCTTCTCTGTTTGCATTTCTGAGCAAATCAAGTGAAATTACATTTTTCTATGCCATCCTCTTAATGTTATTTGCATACGTATCCTGCAGGCTGCAATATTTACAAACGAACGTGGAAGGGCTGCCTGCCAGAGCCTCAGGCAAATAGCCCCGTTTACCGCCCGCTCGCCACACCCCCAATACGAACTAACTACGTTTGCAGAAATTCTTTCATATCCTTTCCAACCGTCGTTACATGCCCTCAAAGTGCCATTTTGTCACTGGTGCCATTCCGGCCACCCCAACGAGCTGCCGCCCTTCACCTCTTGAAATGCTTGCCGCTTCTGCTGTTCCCACTTCATTTGCCTGTCATTTGCATTTTCTTCTTCTTTCCTTTTACATTTTTCTATTTCCCTTTTTTTACATTAATATTTGTTTTCGTTTGATAATTTTCCTTTGCTGCCTTTTATACTTTTAAGTGCACAGCTCCAGCCGGACTCGGCCCCCACCCCTCACTCCCTCGACTCGCTTGCACTCACAGCCGTTTGACTGGCTAGTTTCTCGTGCACTTGCTATCTCTCTCGCTCCATTTCCTTTGTCGTTCCGTCTTATTGGACCGCATAGACGCTGCAAGCAAGAAATAAAAAAGACATGGTAGAAAAAATAAAAAAAAAATAAAAGAGAGAGGAACTTTGTTCGCCGCATTTAAATGTGCTCCGCCCCTTTTCTATTTAAAAAATGTAAAGCATTTGCTTTGGCCCGCCAAGGCACTGGCCAGCGTCGTCTGTCCTGTTTGCTCTGCCGTGTTGACTCTTTCTTTAAATTTATTTTATATCGCTGCCTCCTTGTCGTGCGCGACAGCTGCAGCTGCATCCGCTCGCCACGACAGCGAGTCCTTCTGCCTGGCTTGAGGTCGTGCTCCGCGCCGTCGTCGTCAGGACGCCTTACACAAGCTTTCTGCCAATAAGATTGCCGGAGCACCAGCAGCTGCTGCCCGAAACCGTCCGAGGGCAGGCAGAGCTTGTGTTTTAATAGCCATGTAGGATGGCTTTTAATTGAAAGTTGCCATGCAATTTAGAAAAATGGAAAACATGCCACAAGAAACGAACAACGAGCACATGGCAAAGGAATAAAAGTAAAGTAAGAGCCACGAAGCTCGTTGAGCTCAAGAGGACTTCCAAGTGGAGAACTGATGCAACTATTGGAGCGCATAGTTGAAAATGCCCAAATTAAGTTTTACTTTTAGATTGAAGTTAAGAAGACGAAAAAAAAAAAAAAAAAAACAAATTTATTAACAAATGTTTATTTTCATTTTATTAAATTATATAATTATTCAATAAATTTAATAAATATACAGATTTATAATTGTTTAATTAAATAAATATATATATATATATATATATATATATATATATATATATATATATATATATATATATATATATATATAGCGGACATTATATAGCGGACATATATATAGCGGACATTATATTTATGTCCAAATATATGTCCTTTGTCTTACATGAAAAATCAACATAAAACATGCCGCAAGGGCAAAGAAGGGGTTGTTAAAATAATTACATTATCATTATACACTTACACAGAAGCATATCGCATAATATCGAATAATTCATTGTTCATGCGAATCACGCAACTCAAATTAACCCCTTAGCTTATTAAAGCACTCAGACCCCTCACATTTTTTTTGTATTCAAGCAACTTAAGAGAGGACGGCGCACTGCTTTGCCGTTTATCCGTATGCACTGCTTTGTGCGTTCGTTGATGGCGCCACCTGTGAGCAGCTAGCGGCAACAATCAGCATGAACTGCTTATTGCACTCCCATTTATCCGCCAGAGGAGCCACCCCAATGAAACAGCATCCGATGTAGGAAACGAGTTTGTCGTTTCAGTTTTGGGATTTTTAACCCCTTCGCAAGGCAGACACGTAGGCAAGATGAAAGGCTGATCATCCCTTGACCCGAGAGTGGACCCAATCGACTGTTATCCAGTTCCAGGCAATGAAAATCATGAGAAAATGTTGATATTTCATGCAGCATCTTCAGGTTATTTCACTCGTTTTTCTGCCCGACTTTGTCTTAGTTCAAAGGTTACTGACCAGCAGCAAAAGTAACAGCAACAGCAGCAGCATCAGCTTAAGGACCCGTCTAGAGGAATCTCTAACCAGTTGCCAAGCATCGGAGCCTGGGAAAGTTGCGACTTACCAAGTCTGGACAGGAACAAGTTGTAGACCAATTAAATTGGAATTCCAACAAAGAACACTCTTCCGTTCAATTTGTATTTTTTTTTTTTTTTTCTTTATAAATAAATGCTCGCTGAATGCATTCCGGCTCTCTATTTTGCTCGTTGCATTTAAATATGTGTAAAAGTTTTTGGGCTTGGCAGCCAAAGTTTTGCAGAAAATATTCTAATGAGCCACAAAGTTCGAGCAACTGGACAGAGACAGTGGACCCGGCCTCGCTTCCTGCCTAGACGGCGGACAGGCAGTCCGTGCGGCCTTCCACTCTCAATTCAAATAAATTTCCAAGAGGATTTCGTTGTGCTTTTCGCTCTCATTTGATTTAAGAAACCTTCCGCCCTGCCACTACATTCCGAATTCCAATACACCAACAGACAGGCGGACGGACAGACACACACTATTTTCGAGTCGCCTCAAAGACAAGTTGTTGGCAATTAGGCATTAATATTAATATGAGTTCCACGTTGCAGCGTCACATGAGCTCCTATCAGCAGGACTCGGAGAGCAACTCAGCTCACGTGTCTTGGCCAGGCGAACGACGAGGCGAGTGAGCGACGCGACTAATTAGTTTTGGGAGCCTTTGCCTAGTGGCGATTCCAATGTACCGGCACCAGCAGCCACTATACTGCCCCACCTGGGCCCCCACTCTGCTATCCAGTGGCTATCGCCGTCGTCATCGTCGTCATATCAGGGCCGGCAGCATCAGTAAAGTTTATTATGCAAAATACGGCGCGTTGCTTGCTGGCAAGCAAATGAAGCACATTCAACGCTAACCAAATGCGGCAAGGATGTGGCCAAGGATGGCCAATTGCCAGCGAGGAATATTTGATAAGTTGCAGGCCAGTCAAGCCCAAGCTCCACTACATAAAGTATCATATTTAATATTTATGGCGACGCAAATGCGCAAAGTATGGGCTGCTGCTGATGCTGCTGCCTCTTCTCAATATATATACATATATATATATACTATATTTAGAGCTCGGCACATGGCGACCACTAATATCGAACTGCATATAACCCCCCAGCTAAGCCAATAAATCCAGCAGGCGCAACCTGTGAGCGCTGCCAAGGCGGCCAGCCCGGCGGCAACTGCTGTGGCTCCTCCTGCTCCTGCTCCTCCTGCTTCGCCTAGTTGTTGTTTGTTTGTTGGTAATTATAATTCGCCAAACTCGTGCGCAAAATAAATTAAGAAAAGTGCAAAGTTTGGTAAATGGGCAGCTGGGCAGTCTCCCCTTTATATGCTTGACTACAAGTACTGCAAGTCCAGTCTACAACAACAACAACAACTAGTTGGCCAGCAATTGCATTTTCTCCAGCATGCAAATAAAATTGCAATGACGCCGACGTCGACGTCGAGGAAAACTTTTATTGAACTTGGAAGTTGAACATTTTGCAGCTTGTGTGGCCAGCCCCGCTTCTATTTTATTTTCCCTTTCCTTTTTTTACCATGCTCGGCCCGAAGCTTTTGCCAAGGCACAACATTTTTCCATGCTGGTAAAAGTTAACTATGAAAACCAAAGGAAGTTAACTGCTGAAATTAGTAAAAGTGCTGAAAAGTTGATGAATTTGCAGAGCAGCGAGTGGCGGACTAAGAGCAGCAGCAGGTAGGCGCCAAGCTGGGGCGACTTTAATGCAAGAATTGAAATCAAAAATATATATTTTTTGAAGATGGAGAAATTAACAAATTAGTTAAGAATATAACTCATCTATATTTTATATATTTCTATGTATTAATATCTAAACAGCAAAACTTATATAATTACTTAACTCTTTAGTTCTCTTACTTAACTCTTTAAATGTAATATTCACTATACATTGGAATATTATGAAGAGCGAAATGAATAAAATAAAATTGCATATTCGATGAGCAACTTGAGTTGACTCTCATGAGTATACATTATAAGCGAG